TTGATATTATAGAAAGGTAGCGCATTCTCCTCAGTTATTTTAAGACCTTGAGTGTTGGTCCGGCCGGGGCTCGAACCATCGACCTCGATCTCCCGCACAACAGTCCAGCGCTCTAACCAATTCAGCTAACCGGAACGTAACAGTCTTAGCTTCAGGTATATCTAACAAAATACTGTTTGATGAAGCAGTACGTCTGGTTACTCCAACAGGTTTACATATCTTAAATTGGGTGTCAGTATTGTTGAAAATTGATTTATAAGTATAAACTAAATCTAGGTATTCGTGCCAATAGCAAAGAGGTAAAGTTGTGAGAAGAAACTGGATGTTACAATGTACAGATATTAGACTTAGTTCTTATTAACCGAGCGGGAGGTCTGTAGGGGGAATCTTGACCGAGGTCCCCAGTACAGACCGAACGTAGTGAGGTCTGTACCAGCGACCGAGGTCAAGATTCTCCCATACAGACCGACCTAGCTCGGTTAATAAGATGTTTATTATATGGCTGTGTCTAGAAAGCTACGGAACATGATATTCTTTGTAACTTTTTTCTAGACTGGTCTAGATGCCGGTCTAAATGGGAAAATCTAGACCGCTTTCAATATTGATTTCAGCCAATCAAATTCGTGAATTTGGTAGTTCCCAGTCCTTGTGAGACAGCCGTATAATAATATGGTATATTGGCTCATATGCAATAATGGCTAAGCCAATAAAAAGTCTTGAATTACATCATCCAATGATCCAGTTTTTCAGAAAAACAGATATTCCATCGTTCACCATTGACATTAAGATAAGAACAATGGGCTGTCAACCAGCCAGCAAAATTCTTGTAGTTTTGTACCGAAACTTTTGTACTGGTTTATTTGTATTGTTCAATGTCATTTTAATCTCGTTATATGCGTTAAGGCCCAGTTTTTTATACACGATTTTTCATTGGATTGATAGAACTTTGTTGTATTATTGTTTCAGTTAACGATTGATTATGAGATTGGTCATGATTTTGATTGTTGATTGTGGTTCGTGGTCGATTGCCTTCAAGAAAAAAGTATAAACAATCAACTTTGGTTTGTCATTCCATCCGCACTCCTTAAAACCTGTGAATTTAGATTTTTTTGGTCACTGCAAGCGCTACAATGAGAATAAAAAGATAAAGTGATTTATCAAGCTTTCTTTCTTTGGTAACAGAGGTTAGAGGTCAGGTTAGTCTCATCGGTCATCGCCTGTCCACTTACTGATATTGTTTGAATCTTTACCCGAATATTCGAGAATGCAAGCCTTAACAATGACAATGACAAACATGTCTATCAGCAATACCTTCTCAGTCTGATTCCCAGTAAATACCTCTGGAGCTCTGTATATCCTAGAGCCTGGACAAACTGTCATGGTATGCTGCATAACATTAGCTGTGCCATAATCTGACACTTTGCCTCGCCACTGATCTGCTTGTCGCCATAGCAACACATTGGCACTGCTAACATTGCGGTGGATGATAGGAGATGGTTTCTTAAGGTGAAGGTAGTTCAATGCTCGAGCCACATGCAGAGAGATAACAAACACTTCAATACTGGAAAGAGGTTGCTGCTCTAGCAGTGCTCGTAAACTCGATTCCAGGAGCTCTGTTACGAGCAAAGGGCTTCCTTCATCGCATGTTGCTCCAATGAACTGTAGCAAACAAGGATGGCGACACCGGGCGGCCATGCTCATCTCTCGCTCAAACAATCTGCGGTTGTGATCAGAAATAATCAAATCGTAAATCTGTTTGACGGCGACAGCACATCCACAGTATCTACCCTCAAAAACAATTCCCCAGCCTCCCCTCCCAAGCACATGGTCTGTCAGTTGAATTTGATTACGTGTGATGGCCCAATCAGGTGACTGTTGACGTGAACGTTCATTTAATGCTTGCTGAGCTTCTGCGAGAGTTGTTTCAAGTTCATTCAATTCCAGCTCTTTCTCTGTCATCTGATCCAGCAAGGCAGTAACTTGATCTTGTAAATTAGCAATCCGTTCATCTTTTTGTTGCATTTCCCCTTGAACATTCCTCAGTTGCTGGGTCCTATCGAGCAGCTGCCCTTCTCGATCTTGTAGTTCCTCTTCATAATCTGTCAACTGCTGTGTCTTCTCGCTCAGTTGTCCATCTCTCTCTCGTAGCTGCTCTTCAACGTCTCTCAATTGCTGTGTCTTCTCTGTGAGTTGACCATCTCTCTGTCTTAACTCCCATCTAACATTTTTCAACTGCTGGCTTTTCTCCCTCATTTGTCCATCTTTCTCTTGTAGTTGCTCTCGAACATCTGTTAACTGCTGTGTCCTCTCCCTCAATTGTACATCTCTCTCTCGTAGTTGCCCTTCCACAAATGTCAACTGCCGTGTCTTCTCTCTCAGTTGTCCATCTCTCTGTCTTAGCTGCCATTCAACACTTGTCAACTTCTGCGTTTTCATCCTCAGTTGTTTCTCTCTGTCTTGTAGTTGGCCTTGGACATCTGTTAACTGCTGTGTCCTCTCCCTCAGTTGTCCATCTCTCTCTTGTAGTTGCCCCTCAACATCTGTCAATCGCTGTGTCTTCTCCTCCAGCTGTCCATCTCTCTCTTGCAGTTGCTCCTGAACATTATTCAACTGCCTTGTCTTCTCTCTCAGTTGTCCATCTCTCTCGCTTAGCTGTCCTTCGACATTTGTCAATCGCTGTATCTTCTCCCTTAGTAGTTCATCTTTTTCTTGTAGTTGCCCTTGTACGTTAGTCAACTGCTGTATTTTCTCTCTCAGTTCTCCATCTCTCTCTTGTAGTTGTTCCTCAACATTTGGCAACAGCTGTGTCTTCTGCTTCAGTTGACCATTTCCTTTCTCTAGTCGCTGCCCTTGAACGTTAGTCGACTCCCTTGTCATTTCATTCAGTTGTTGAGCTTCATCCTGTAGTTTCCCCTGAAAATTTGTCAACCGCTGTGATGTCTTCCACGGTTGTCTATTTCTCTTTATTACTTCCTCCTCAACAGTTGTCTTTTCTGGTTCATTCTCTTGCAGTTTTACTGCGAGATGGAAGGCCGAATCTCTGTGCAAACTTTGTTCTTCTTTTTTTCTCTCTTTCGATTCTTGTACTGCCGTTCTCAACTGTATTTCTACATCGGGTACGCATTCTCCTCTTTCTCGCTCTTGAACGATTGCAGCCGTTAGATTTCGCTTTTCTCGAAACTGTTCTTGCATTCCTAGAAGAGAAATTCAAATGTCAATAGGTTCAAGAACAATGGAATAGCACCAACCGCAACAAATTGCAAACAATGCTAATTTCATTTTTAATAAACGGCCCGGCGACTTCAACATAGCGATGTCAATATCTTTTTACTGAACCCCAATCTCTTAACGTTGTCTTCGTCACCTCTATTTCTATAGTTATTATTGCTTTTGCGACAGCTAAACATCATCTTACCAGCTGCTTTCCTTGCAAAAGTCTTTTTCTGATAATTCACATTAAAGTCTTTCTTTGGTGTGACATCCACTCCAGGTACAAATCCTCTACCTCGTCCAAATCCCATTCGTTCATCCTGTTGAAAATAGAAACACATTACACCAACAAATGAAACATTTGAGCCTTAAAATAGAATTTTAGTACTCTTCAACACCAAATTAAACATTCGAGCCCTAAAATAGAATTTTAGTACTCTCCAAATTAAGAAGAATCGTCCTTTCCTTTGTCGAGCCGAAAACGTTCGTGTGAAATATTTCAGTCAGTTTAAGGTATGATCCAGTTTCTGCTTTTAAGGTGCAAAGTCTTTGGGATAGTCTTCCATAATTTGTCCAACTGCAGTTCACCTTTGACTAGATTATATCACAACTTGTCAGCATCCACAGGTCAAAATATTACTTATTTCACTTTGAAATCATAATAAATCACATAATAACTAACAAGGCTGTCGAAAAAGCACCGAAGATCTAAATAACCATTGCTGATGCTTTAATAGACTTCTCTGACTCAAAAATATCCTCCGACGTTAGAAAATCACACAGAATAGCTGGTGATATCACAAATACTAATTATCACTTCGAGTTAGGCATCGGTGTTGCATTACCAATATGAAATACATAGTGGCGCCACTTTTTAGAACAGAGACTGCAAAAACGTTTTCATGCCAATGCCAGAAGGAATCAGAAGACTGTCACAAATAAAAGCTATAGTGCGTGACTGCTGAATAGAAATAAAACGTAAAATACAAACGTTATGATAATCATAACTTTGTAGGAGCTAAAATATTTTAAGTAATTGAGACTTTCTCACATCTTTGGTATTTACATCCAGTTGTCTTCCCTTGGGCAAAGACCTTTGGGCCTTTTCAGTCCCACAACGATCCACTTGCGTTTGATTTTTGACGTTTAGAAGCTTGGTTTCTGTAGCTTCATCTGACAACAACCTTGGCATTCCACACCACAGTTTTCTTTCGTCAGTTTCAAGGATTCTCTCTCTGATCCTAAGTCCCTCCAAGTGGATTGCATGATCATCACCTTCTAACAAAGCGAGTTCCGCAAGACTTTGACTTTCTGTTCTATTTTGAAAAGCCTCCACGGGTTCCATCTCCTTTTTACACGAAGGATGTGCTGGATCTTTATACCTCTCCGCCATTCCACGTTTCATGTATGTAAATGCTCTTTCAATGTTGCAAGAATCGAGGTCATTCACATCGGCTAAAGTTGCACCTAGTAGTTCAAAAGCATCAATTTTTTGTTCCGTTTTACATTCTGGTCTGGTGGTGAAATACTCCACCATTTCAATTTTACATTCATTACTGGCCAAAAGAAGTGGTGTTAAACCTTCATTATTTCTCAGTTGTGATGCACCAGACGCTAGAAGGTCACGCACACAGGTAAAATTTTCCCAATAAACAGCAAAATGAAGAGCAGTCCAGCCATCTGCGTCCTGCAGGTCCAAAATGGCGCCGCTATCGATGAGGTAGGTAACTACATTCATTTGACCATGGCAGCAAGCCATCATAAGTGGGGTAGCTTCTTGGTCGTTACGCGCATTTATATCGGCCCCGTTTGTAACCAAAAATTTCACCATGTCAATGTAACCTTCGTGGGCAGCATCCCTGCCGTCGACATCTGTAGTTCGTTTAATCAACACTTCATGGCAAGCAGCCGTAGCAGCCCATACTGGTGTACAACCTGCATGAGCTACGCCTTTCACTTTCAAAATTCCTCGAGCTTCAATGTCTACCTTGTATCCCAGAAGAATCTTCACAGAATCCAAGTGTCCATTACGAGCGGCGATAATGAGTGGAGTAGTCTCGTTGCCGCCATCTTGGAACTTTGTCTCCAAAACAGTTTTTCTTTCTTTTGTGTTCAGCCGCTTTAAGAGATCTTTCAGTTCAGAAGATCCGTCACGAGCAGCTTTATAAACTTGAATCGCACTTACACTACCGGAAAGCTTATCAGCCATCTTTCAAAACGCATAGGGAAACCTGTATTTTTCTACTGAAGTTCGCTTTAGTCCTTTTTACAGTTCCCGGCGCCATATTGAATGTGTAACCGCGCAAACATGATAGCGAGGTTAGTGTTGAGTCGCGTTGAGAGTTCTAGTGAGATTTTAGTGAAATGTGGTGGTGCTCTGTCCTTTTCATCGAGATATTTCGACAATGAACGATACTTTCCCTACGCAGGATATTCCTCCTTCTTCTTCGAAAGGAAGAGGAAGACACTGTGCCGCTTTTTGGTT